TGGCAGACAAGAAAGACCAGCCGCCCCGACCTCGCCACGGGCAGTCAGGTCGGGAGGACCTCAGCTCGCCAGGCCCACGTCGCCTCAGCCCTCAAGGCCTGGTACCCCGTTCCTGGAAAACCGATTCGAAATCCTGGCCACAGGTTCCAAGCAGGAGCCCTCTGTCCGAAGCCGTCACCAGCGGCCCGAGCTATTTCTGGCACACACCATTCATGATAATACAAAAGTGAGCAGCACAAATGCCGAGCCCGCCAGGAAGCAAAGACGCCACCGCCGAGCTCACCGGTCTAGCTCGGGCGAGGTCAAGGCACCCATCCTTTCAGTTCAATCCCCCTATCTCCCGAGCTCCTGGCAGTTCCAATGCCCAAAGATTTCAAGCTCCCCCTCTTGATAAGTACGATGGGTCGTTCGACCCAAATGATCACATAGATGCCTTCCAGTCGTAGATGCACCTAGCAAGAGCAAGTGAGTCGTGCATGTGCGTGGCCTTCTCCACCACTTTCAGAGGAGTAGCCCGCACATGGTACCGGAACCTGACGCCCGGATCAATAAGAAGATGGGCGCAGTTCGCACAGGCTTTCACATCCCACTTTGTTACCAGTAAGCAGTGCCCGCAAACTGAAGAGAGCCTCCTCAACATAGTGCAGAGAGAAGGAGAATCCATCCGGGGCTACGTCAAAAGGTTCAATGATGCTTGCATGCAGATACCGCGCCTGGACCCCGCCGTGCACCTTGCAGCAACTAAGAAAGGCGTGACGCACAAAGAGTTCAAATGGCACATGGTCGTCAACCAACTAGCGACCATAACTAAATTTCTTAAGCTCACGGACAAGTTCATAGCCACCGAAGAGGATATCACCATAAGGGCGAGAGCGCGCCCGAAAAGAGGAAGAGGGAAGAAGAGCCTTCCAGCTAAGGGGACAGCCGAAAGAAAAAGGACGCAGCTCGGGGGGTAAAGCCAGCTCAGTCGTTCTGAGCTCCTGCAGCGAACCGAACTGATTACACCCCACTGAACACGAAGCGGGCCGAAATCCTGATGGCGATCAAAGACGCTCCTCCGTATGTGAAGTGACCACCCCGTTTGAGGGGAAATCCCAACGAGAGAAATAAGAATCTATATTGTAGTTTTCACAAAGATCACGATCATAGCACCGAAAATTGTAAAAATCTCCGCGACGAGATTGAAGAACTCATCCGTCGTGGATATTTAAGAAACTTTGTACAAAATAGCAATAATAATAATAATAAAACAGGTCGGCAAGGGGAGTACGGTAAAGACGCTCCCGAGTCCAGCAGCAGGCCGACCGAGCAGTCGCAGAGGCAGCCTCCGGAAGAGAGGCCGGTCCGGGGCACCATCCACGTCATAGTGGGAGGATCAATCGTCGCGGACAGCACTTCAGCAGCAGCTCGGACGTCAGTTCGCGAAACCGCCCGGGAAGAACAGAATCCTCCGAAGCGGCCGAGGACAGAAGAGCCAATTTTCTTCACGGAACATGATGCGCGAAGGGTCCATTACCCCCACGACGACACACTTGTGATAAAGCTGAGGATCAACGACTTCGAGGTCAGGCGTGTACTCGTTGACTCGGGCAGCTTGGCAGATATCCTCTTCAAAGTTGTGTTTGACCAGCTGCAGTTGCAGAAAAGTGACTTGAGGCCTGCGGACACTCCTTTGGTGGGCTTCAGCGGAGAAGAAGTCCGGCCCCTTGGGAAGATAACAGTACTTGTGGAAGTCGGCACATGGCCCTGCGTAGTCAGACTCAACCACAACTTCTTGGTGGTCGCGACCCCCTCCCCGTACAATGCCATAATAGGTTGGTCGATCACCCATATCCTGCGGGCGGTGGTCTCCACCTACCATCTGGCTATGAAGTTCCCTACAGACTTCGGAGTGGGGGTAGCGCGGGGCGACCAGCTCGAGTCCTGCAAGTGCTATGTCGCCGCCCTGAAGGGAAAGACCAAGGTAGCCGACGACCTCGAACTGGAGCGGCCTACGGAGCAAGGCGAAGAACGAGTC